CTTTGATTCCTCCTGAGCCTGTGGTGGTAGCGGTGGGACGCAGGGGGTGCTGCTCTTCCCTTTTCCTGCTTTCATTTCTGCTTAGCACAGGGAAAAGGGGTTCAGGACGTGAAGGAAGACACAGAGGTGTTGGGGGAAGCCTTTTGTCCTGTGGCTGCAATGTAACATTTTCCTTGTCTTTAAATTTGCGAGCTTCCTGTTTCTTGTGTGGAATAATAAGGTGTAATTTCCCGTCTTACTGTTTCCAACAGCATTGAAGAGTAGCCCCTGGAACAGTCTAAACTCCACCATGACCTACATCAGCTCTCAGATACCTGTGTTCTCCCGGGGTTTGCCATGATTTTCCCTTGGCTAACCACTGACTTCCAATTCTGTTTCTTGTCCAAACCGGGGATATACTACATTTTGTGGGCACATACAAAGCATGAACTGGGAACTCTCAGGAAGATTCTTATATATTTGTTTGTTTCTTTGTTTGTTTTTGAGTGCCGCCTTTTCCCAGCACCATTCCAGCAACTTTGGGACCACATTTAGTATCCAACTCAGCTGTGGCTCTTTTCTTAGTGTGTTAAGGAAAGCTGCTTTTCTCCATTACCGCTGATACTTTTCCTGATGTGTGCTACTGATGTTCACTAGTTTTTATTTTCTTCACCAGTTAGTAGATTTAAAACAAAACAAAACAACACTGTTCTATGTCTACATGGGAAGCAGCATCTAATCTCTCTCAAATGGTGTTCAAGGGTGAAAATTAATGAAGAAACAAGTCAGGCTTTCACAATTTTATGTGTGAACATCAATCAGTCCTTTAAATGGCAGGAGCCTCTGGGAGGTAGAACTGAGGAAACTAGGTGCAAATGAAAATGGAGAGGTGAAAATTCCAGATATCTTTTTCAACTTCCAGCTGGAGAATAGATTAGAAAAAGATCAATTTGTGTATCACAGAGTCTATTTTTGTTTCATTTTAATTAGGGTTTCCATCCCTTTCTCTACCCTACCCTCCATTTGGTGAGTGTAAGTGAAGTCAGACAAGGTTTTGGCTGACAAATGTAGCCTGTAGCTTTGACACCAATTTTTTTTTCATTTTTCTTTTCTTTTTCTAGACATTCTGTTTCCTTTCCATGTCACCACCTGTTATGCAAATACTCAGAGAGCAGATTGTGTTCAAGCAGTCCTCATTCCTCAAGTATCTCACCCAAACAGGAACATTTACATAATGAACTCACAAATACAAATGCACAATCAAAAACATCACACCCTTTGGAGTCTGGGGAGAAACTATGGACTGAACAGTGACATGTTGACCATTTACAAAAGCTTTGGTTACATCCCAATTGATTCTCCCACACCTATGAGGTAAGTGCCGACTGCAGATAAAACAGGGCTGGCAGCTGTTCTGGGGTGGGGGTGCAGAGGTGTGCACACAGTGTTAGGGTGGAAGAAGGAAAACAAAGACTATGGCTCCTGAAAGAGATGTTCCCTAGGGTGTTTGTATTTGTTCTCAGTCTGGGATGAGCCTTGGGAAGCGGGAAATATTGATTCTGCCCTATTGATCCTTTGCTTCCTGCACCTAACAAGGTAGGATGAGTCACCGACTTCCAAAATGTTTCTCAGCTCGATAGTTAGCAAGCCATAGCCAGGAATGGTCTAGAATGCCTAGACACTGGCCTACAGCACTGGCCGACTTAATAATATATATCAAAAGCATCCATAAAAGGTCATTTCAGTGAGATTGAATCTCAGGGATTCAGAAAGTGTAAGATAGCAATATAGAGAAGTAAAAATGAATATACATTTTACACACACACACAAAGCCATGCCTCACAAGGAAGGAAGAGCCTTTCTGAAGCCTAGCCAGCCCACCTCCCTTCTTCAGCCCAATCCATCACAGTTTACCCTTGGTACTTTGCATTTAGGGAGAGACCTTTGTGATACTTCCTCCTTCATTTTCCCATCAAATTTTCACTTGCAAAATTGGAGTGTTAATCGGGACACAGAAAATTGGGCCTGAAAGTGGTTCTTAAAGAGACAGAGCCATTCTCTGTCTCTAATTCCTTCAAGAAACATGGAGTGGGGTAGTTGGAGGGTGGGGGGAATGACAGGAGAGCTCTCCAAACACTGGAATCTTCTCCCCATTGTCCCATAAAAACTTCCGAGACTGTTTCCCTTTTTGTAAACAAGGGTTGATATAGATGGCTTCTGTGTCATTTTTCCAAACTCCTCACCAATCCTCTGCTCCTCACTTTGCTTCACTGGAACCCATAGGTAGTAGAACCCCGTAGGGTTCAGAAACTACCCCTGGGGTTAGTGAACAAGTGCTGATTGACTTCTGAAAATAACCACTTGCATTTGGGGATGGGATGCTGAAGGATAGATTTGGAGAGGCTTCTTGATATGTCCAGAGTTCACTTAGGGTTGGAGGAAATTTTGGGGGAAAATGTCCAGAGATTGACTTACTTTACTATACACCAAAATATAACTCATGCCTATTGAGTGGAGGGAGTATGAGTACACAAAGGGACTCTGAGAAGAGACATATGCAGAAGAAGGGGCTCCAGACAGGACCAGGTTCACGGTAGAAGAAAGGGCAAGTTCCCAGGAAAGCTGGGGGTGATGCTACATTTCCATTCAACACGAGCTAGAAACTGGTTGGGCAGCTGGGCATGGTGGCACACACCTTTATTCCCAGAATTCCACTAGGCACAGGCAAGTTGTTCTCTGTGAATTCAAGGCCAGTGTGGTCTGTAGATCGAGTTCCATTGACAATCAGGGCTACACAGAGAAACCCTGTCTTGAAACACCTCACCACCACCACCCTCAAAAAAAAAAAAAAAAAAAAAAAAAAAGGAAGATTAAACAATTTTAGAGCAGGGATCCTCAAAGTGAGCAGTTCTGATTCTTGTCTGTGGTTCTCTCCTGACCAGAGACAGAAATACCAGAAGTATTTGGAGACCCTAGTTTTTAGTCTGGTCTGTTTTGGTTACGTTCCTTGTTGCTGTACCAAAATGTCTGATCAAAGCACTTAAAGAAGAATGGGCTTATTCTGGCTTATTCCAGGGAAGTCCATTATGGCCAGACAGGCATGGTGGCAGGGACGTCATGTAGCTTAAGTCACACTGTGTCTACAGTCAGGAGGTAGTGGGGAGGGTGGGATGGCACTGCCCGGGGAAGGGTGGGTATGCTCACTTTAATTATCCTTGATCCTCCTACAGACATGGGAGTAGTGTAGAGATGAATGTAGGGGGAGCTCAGAGGATGGCTAAGGGCAGGGTATGAGGCTTGTCTCTGACGGAAGATTAGATTTTGTCAAGTTGCCATCATACAATTTGATACCATCACTTTGTACTTGCCTTCCTCCCACTGTTCTTTATTTTCTCTTACCTCTAATGAGGTACTAGTGTGTAGGCAGCTGGGTTTGTTTTCCAGAGAACTGTGGATAACACAGAATGCAAAAATGTGGGCTTGAAGTAGAAAAAATGGAAGAAGCTTTGCTGCATTTAGGAAAGCTAGGTATCCATAATAGATTAGTGGTAGCAGGCCTTGGCTCTGCATCCATCCTCAAGCTGGGCTGACTCATTTAGAGGGCAAGGATAAAGGATGGCTATGGAATCCCAACTCCAGTCAGCCCCCGTTCTGCAGCTAGTGGTCACAAGTAGACAACTTTAAGGACCTTCTCATGGACATATGTGCCCAGACAGTACAGAGACAGCTTTAGGGGTGAAATTATTCACAGCATCACTTTATATCAGTAAGTAGTCAGTTGTCAGTACATATGGAAGAGAATTTGTGTGCTAGATCATTGTGACTGGCAGTGATCTCTTTGGACAGAATTCTGGAGGTCTGTGCTCTTAGAAGAGAATCTCTTAAAGGTACAGATCACATTCCTTAATCCTCACCACAGTCCAGGGAAGCACAGTCATTTCCGCATTGCATCATAGGAAAGTATGTGAGATTACATAGACTGGGGATTTGAACCTCTTTTACTAAGCCACAACTGTGTTTTTTGAGACAGCCAAAAAGAACAAATGAAGTTCACAAGGGATTCGAAACAGTTTGAGTTGATTAGTGACTTTACTTCAGCAATGAATCAAGACACAAGGAGAATGTCTTAAAGACTGAAGGGAAATTGGGCTTCTCTCAAGTTATGCCAGGTAAGCCAATTCGTGTTTGGATCACAGACCTATAATTACGTAGATTCACATACACCTTTTTCAGATGTGCATACACTGGGGAAACATGCAGAGTGTTGTAGAACTAAATGTATTTGTATATGTTCAGCATACTGTATAATTGACTCAATTAGCCACGTGGGGATTATTCACTTTTAATTCGCAATCTGGCTTCTCTCTGTTACAGTGTTGCTGGGTTGCTCCAGGAATGCCAACTAATTTAAATAATAATTTAAGTAAAACATAATTAGGAGGAAAATTAAATTCGATCTTTTGCCAGCTCTTGAACAGTCTACTATTGAAATGTAACTCTAATCCATGTGCTGTCTTTTCATTTTCCAATGCATTTTCTCTCACAGGATTTGATTGCTATGATTATTGCAGTAACTTCCTGTATAGTTTTTCTGATTATCTCTTTCCAATCAGACCACCATTCTGACTGTAATCTTAAAAACAAACAAACCTCCTACATGGCTACACATTTATCTGTGGATAAATGCACAGGCCAAAGCCTCTCACAGAAGCTGCTTCTAGCTTTACTTCCAGACTGTCTTTGACACCCAGCCAATCATTCTTCTGTTCCTCAGCCTTTGCTCACTTTCTTCTGCTGAAACACCCCCACAAGGGTGTCTCATATGAAAGGAAACTTTCATATCTTCCAGCCCTACTTTGCTACTCCCACCCCTTAACATACTCGGTTCTTTGAAAAAAAAAAATTAAGGTGTTGGTGAAAATGCACAGTCTCCTTACTCTCCTGTAAGGAGAAACAGGAGCGCCTGGCGGCGAGACTTGGCCCTTCCGGTTTTCCGTCGGGCGCGCCGTGATTGGCTGGGCTGTGCACAGCTGACAGTCGCGAGAGCGAGGGAGCCTCAAGGATGGCGGCGTCCGCGGCGCTCATCCTGCCCGAGAGCCCCAGGTAGCGGTCAGGCTGAGCGCCCCGCCGCGCTGGATGGATTGTTGGGGTGGGAGCAGGGGCGTCACCACCTCCTGCTGCGGTGGTGCAGTCGGCCAGGGTCGGGAGCCCGAGCGGAGCGGCGGAGAGACTCTCGGGCGCAGAGGAGGACATGGGCGGGACGTGGAAAGGGTGGGCGGGGTGTGGTGGGCGGGACGTGGAAAGGGTGGGCGGGGTATGTGGTGGGCGTGGCGCGGAGGAGGCTGGGCGGGGTGTGTGGTGGGCGTGGCGCGGAGGAGGGTGGGCGAGGTGTGCGGTGGGCGGGACGTGGAAAGGGTGGGCGGGGTGCGGAGGAGGGTGGACGGGGTGTGTGGTGGGCGTGACGCGGAGGAGGGTGGGCGGAGTGTGTGGTGGGCGTGGCGCGGAGGAGGATGTGGGTGGGGTGGGAGCGGCGTGCTTCCTCCCGGAGTGGTTCTTCTGCTCTGAGTTCGCAGGCCTGGTGCCCCCCCCCCCCCCCGCTCCCCTCTCCCCCCGATCGTCTGTACTAACTTGAGTGACTGAGCGCAGGTAGTAGAAGTGACTAGACGCTACCTGAGTTCTGACCACTCTCTTAGGAAAATACTCTGTCTTTAGTTATTTCAGATCTGATGATAGTGAGGAATGGTCATGCTGGTACTACGGAGTGATGAACAAGTAACACTTATTAATAGCCCTTTGAAACCAAGGTTCAGTAGTTAAGGCATTAGTGGCTTATTTAGCCAGTTTTGGCACCACTGAGTGTTACCTTTTTATGTAGTTTTTAGTTTTTTGGGTGTGTTAGGTAAGGCTGGCTGGGTCTGGAGATGCAAAGCCCAGTTGTAAAGTTGTTTTTTTTTTTTTTTTTTTTTTTTTTTTTTTTTGACGGAGCAGTTCTTAAAATTGTTGCCTAGGCTGGCCTCAAACTTGTGGACCTAAGATCCCTGTAGCCTCCCAATAAGCTGGCACAATTGGCCATCCCACCACACCCTGCTCAGACTCCCCCTATTAAAACAAAATTATTTCAGAAAAAAAAACCAGACGAAGTTTGTGGAGGCACAGGAAATACTCATGTATGCAGGCAAATATTGAAGGTTGAACACAACACTCCTGCATTGGGAAGAAGACAGTTGGTATAAGTTTTTCCCTCTTTCACTGGATCTGACAGCCACTTCTTTGTTTCAAGCCCATGTCCTGAGGGAATGCACAGTATGAAGGCACATTCACTAAATGTAAACAATTTGAAATTGGTTATTACAAGTGATACAGGTTGCAAGGTAACTGTGCACTCCAAATAATCAAGTATGTATTATCTTCCCCCTCTGCTCACCAACACTTGCCATCGGTATCCTTCATGGTTTTGGTGTAATCTCCTAATTGGCTGTTTCCTTCCTTTCAGAGTTCTATTTTGGATTAAATGGTAGCATGCATTCCCATTCTCTAAATTACGGCCATTCCCTGATAGGGTACATACCTCCCCAACTAATTTGCTTGGGAAGAGAAAACTTGTGAGATGTACCTTTCAACAGGAGTGTTTCAGGAGAGGCATCTTTTTGGAAATGCTCATACTGATTACCTGTCATTCATGTCACGTTATTTCACTAAAAGAACATAGCTACCAGAGTTGTTGAAATAAAAACGTACAGACAACAAGGGAAAATGCACTTTAAAAGTAATTTTGAAACTTTGTTTACACGTTTATTTAGCATGAAGAAAGCAGTGCCGCTGATAAATGCAATAGACATGGGGAGATTCCCACGACTTCTTAGCCGAATTCTTCAGAAGCTTCACTTAAAGGTTTGCATTTCTGTATTCCTGTGGTTTGTAACCCCTCTGATTCCCCTGAAACATGACACTGTTATGTGGAGGACTGTGAGATAGAGTGCTCTCTGGAACTCTAGATATGTGGAAGACTTGATAATGCTCTCTGGTCAGAAGTCCAGGAAACTTTGTATTCTGTAATTAACTAAAAAAAAAAAAAAAAAGTGGGGCTTTGTAGAATGTTTTGCATGCTAATGCTTGGGTCATATATTGAAGGGTGAAGGTTTGATGTTGGAATTGTTATATCTTGGTATATAATGTTCTGTGGGACGTTCTTCCTGGTAATGATAGTTCAGCCTAGGGATGGAGAAATGGTTCAGTGGTTAAGAGCCTGTCCTGAATCTAGGCAGTCATTGTACAAGCCTTTCATCTCAGCATTTGGGAGGCAGAGGCAAGTAGATATGTCTCTGAGTTTGAGACCTACCTGAGGTCTACAGAGTGAATTCCAGGACAGCAGAGGCTACACAGAGAAACCCTGTCTCCAACTCCTACTCTGCCTCCGCCCTCAAAAGACCACATACTACTCTTGCAGAAGACTTGATTTGTTTTCCCAGTACTCACTTAGTGGCTTATAACCATCTGTAACTCCAGTTGCAGGGATCTGATACCTTCTTCTGACTTTCTTGGATTTCTGTATGCATATGGTACATGTAAACTCAAGCAGGCACACATGCAAAACCTACAAAGAATAAAGACAATTTAAAAATAATTCAGTCAGTATTTCTTCTCACAGTATTTAATCTCTGAATTTTCTCTTTTATTTCAAGGGTACAATTGGTTTGGCTATATGTATGCTTGGTAATTAGTTCATTATTTGGTAACCAGTTCAATTTGTGTTCTTTATTGGGTTATAAAATTGCATTGGCCATGTTATGGGGCACACACCAAATGCTCTGTATATTTCTAGACACCAACATTCAGTTATGTCCAGGACTCTCATCTCTCTCTCTCTCTCTCTCTCTCTCTCTCTCTCTTCTCCCTTCCTTCCTTCGTCCTCCCTCCCCCCCTCTTCACCAGAAGACAGCCCCAGACCCATGGCCTATTTCCTCTGAATTATCTTTCAAATCCAAATTTTCCACATCAGAACCTTCTTGTTTCCTGGCTTTAGGCTAGTATCTGTTGCTCATAATCTTTTTGGTTTTGCTCTTTTGCATTCATGTATTTTTCTTTTTTAAAAGATTTATTTATTTATTTATATGTAGCATTCTGCCTGCATGTGTGCCTGCATGCCAGAAGAGGGCGCCAGATATCATTATAGATTCTTTTGAGCCACCATGTGGTTTCTGGGACTTGAACTCAGGACCTCTGTAAGAGCAGCCAGCAGAAGTGCTCTTAACCTCTGAGCCATTTCTCCAGCCCCTATGTATTTTTATAAACATGTATGAGTGTTTTTATAAAACGTATTAATGTTTTGTTGCATGTGTATATGTATATCACATGTGTTCTTCGTGCCCACTGAGGCCAGGCCAGAAGAGTGCATTGAATCCCACAGAGCTGAAGTTAGAGATGATTGGGAGCTGCCTTATGTGGGTGCTGGGAACAAAACATGCCTTTTGCAAGAGCAGCAAACACTCTTAACCATGGAAGCATCTTTCCAGCCCCTAGCTGATTCCCAATAAGACCATTCCAGTAGCATTTATGAACATCAGTGATTGTCCCTTACCCCTTGGAGAAAACTTCAGAATCCTTACTGTGTGTGAGTGTGGGATCCATTAGGATATGCAGTGGTCTATGTTCTCCTTACTTTGCATTCGCAATCCCACTGGACAGGGCACATTTACTACAGTGTGCTGGGGCCTTTTTCAACTATATGTTGTGCATGCCTTCTTGTCCTTGCTTCCACATGCTCTTGTTCCCTGCTTCACTGAGAGAGTGTATTGTGTGAGTCTCTTCTCTGTGCTTCCAGAACATCTGCTTGATTCTCAGCTCACTTTAGCACTGTCTTGTTTCTCAAGTAGAAGACCACCACCAAACTCCCTCACCAGTCTTCCTACCTGTAACCTTGAGAGGCATACCTTCCTCATTGATATAGCTCCCTTCCCCAATACATTACTCATTATACAGTTGGCACTTAGTGAATGCTTTTGGAGTTAATTCTTTTCTTTCACATGAGAAGTGCAAAACCAGAATAGGACCTCTCTGTCTCCACCTTCAGTAAATTGGGATGTAGATGGTGAGACAGGAGGAATAACAGTAGCAGGAGCAGGAGCAACTGCCTGTGGCATATCTCATCTTGGCATATCAGCAGTCTGCATTGGGAAACACCGACGAAGTCAAACAAACATCTGGAGCTGAAAACTTAGAAAGAGGTATCGGTGGCCTCAGATCTTTAAAAAATAGTGGCTATAACTCATTAATGAAAAACTTTCTGTGTTTGATCCCATAGGAGAGATTTGGGGCCCCTGCGTGAAACCTGTTGATGTAGCTGTTGCGTGCTTCTCTCTGTAGAGCCAGCTGTCTGTGTCCTTGACTAGGCACACTAGAAACAGCAGAACAGACTGGTGAAGGGGAAGCAGGGAGCGGAGGTGCTGCTGAAATGGGGCAAATGGGCAATTTCAAGAAGTGACTGCCATTTATGAGATGAAGTGAAGAAGGAAACGAGATAAAACAAATACAAAGCACAGCTGTCTGAGGTGGTCTAAACTTAAAGCAGAAAAAACCATCCATTTCTCAGCCCAGAATCCCAGTGATTCATTGAGTCAGCACAAAAAGCTCATTTGGTTTCACTTACGGTGGTGTGGAGCGCATGTCATAATTCAGATCAGCAGCACACCAGCTTCCTTTCACGATGGGCTTCCCTTTGCTTTTCGGTTTTCTTTCTCCATATGAATAAGCCACTCTTCTGTATGCCTACGCAGGGCTGACTGCTTGCTGTGTTTGCAGGCCGAGAGCAGTTTCAGTGAAGAAGAGGAAGAAAAACTTCAGGCTGCCTTCTCCCTAGAGAAACAAGAACTTCACCTGGTTCTGGAAACAATAGCATTTGTTTTGGAACAGGTATTTTTATTGCCTCAGATTTCCTGTTTACTGCATATTTTCATGACTTTAATATCTGTGGCTTTCTGTATTTTTATGTAGCTATGTAGAATGGGTGCAATTAGGATATTTTAATCAAGAGTATCAACATGCTGAAACATTTTTGAGTGCATGGCTTCTATCCATACATCATTCTGCAAAAGTAAACGTGATATAGCAGTAGTAAAGATTGATCAATGGGAATTGGGTCTTTACCTTATTTTAACTCATTGTTTCTTGGTATAATTGGAAAAATGAACATTTTCCATTTAAGAAGTTGAACAGGTGATTGGGTAGTATTCATTTGATTAGGATGATACATAAAAGAAACAGTGTCATTTTTTTATTTGCTATTGAATTTCCTTTCTATAACTTTTCTTCTCAAAAATCATTGCATTATTTTTATTCCTTCTTAATGCTATCACATTAGCCTGGGTTGCTTAGTCCTGTAGCCTTCTCTTATTTGTGTTGCTTTGACCATTACAGTAGCTAGTCTTTCATTATTTCACACACGTCAGTTTTTTCCCTTCACTAGATTTTTAATATATTGTGGACCAGGATCTTATTTTTTTTTGCACCTCTTTTATGAGCTTAGAGTATAGCTGAGCTTAAAAATAGTCTTTTAGTAAATTCCTACCAGTTTATTAAACAGGATACTTGTGAAATAAAATACAGTAGTAGTACAGTTTCATGGGCCTGTGGGGAACAGATTCTATTAGGACAAGCTGCCAGCTGTCTGCTGCCACCTCATGGAGATGATAGACGGTATATGTCACCTTGACAAATACCTGAAGAAACAACTTTAGGAAGGGTCTGTTTTGGCTCATAGTTTGCTTCCAGTGAGGGTGAGTGAGAAGACATGGTTATGTGTGCATGGGGAGCAGCTCCTGTCTGTGGTGTCAGGAGCATAGGTGCAGCACTCATATTTCTGCAGGTCAGAGAGTGCAAGAGCTTGCCCTGTAGCTAAAGCATGTAGCCTGCTCGCCAGTGGACTCACTTCCTAAAGGTTCCGCAGCCTCCCAAACGGCCACCAGCTAGGGACCAGGCCTTTAAACACTCTAGCCTGTAGGGGACACTTCACACTGATCTGCATAACATTCCACCGTTTGCTTCCACACGCTCATTGCATCTCATAGTGAAAGAAGAATTTAGTCCAAATTCACACATCCTCACAACCCTAAGTTCTCACACTCTCCAAAGGTTCAAAGACCGAAGTACTCTCTGAAACACACAGCGATCTCTTAACTCTCAGCCATATGTGGGTGCTGGGGCCAGAACATGCTTTTTTGCAAGAGCAGCAAGCACTCTTAACCACCGAGCCATTTTGCTAGCTCCTAATTGACTCCTAATAAGACCATTCCAGTAATGTTTCTAATGTTTTTCTCTCTTAAAAATATTGATCATATTTTAATAGCATTTAGACAAATGGGAACACACACGTTACATGTTTTTAATGTATAATATCCAGAGTAACTCTCTCCACTTTAGAAGGGAGGGATGGTGACATGCTGTGGAAGGACTAGCACACATTGAGGAAACACCACGCTCTGCAGTTCTGTGCCTAGCGTCTGGCACACACAGGCCTCTGTGTTGGCCTGGCTTCACTTGGCACCTGCAGTTTTCCTCAGTGGATGTCACATATTTCTGGCATCCAAAATGCTGCTGACTCTATTGCACATTTGGGTTCATCTTTGCAAATTCACCTAAGCCCAGGCAGGCACATTTCATTCAGGGACTCTCACTCTGCTATAAATTGTCTGAACCCATTAGTTTCCTGGAACCTTGCCGCAAACCTCCTGCGTCGTGCATACTGGCAGAACCAGTACTGTATGGACGCTGCTCTCAGTTTCTGCTGTGGGGTTGAGATGTAGCTCAGCTTCCATTCACCACAGCTGCAGCATCTCGTGTGGGAGAACCCTAACCTACGCAACCCTTTTCCAGCCGTGGGCCCTGGACCTGTCTCTGTTTAGGCATTGTGTGTTTTTCTCTCTTCTTTCAGATTAATGGTTTTCAGTTTTAAGCCCCAGAGCTTTCAGTGGGTGCCCTGGTAGCAAGAGCTGGTGTTGTCCCAGTGCAATGTGTACAGTACCAGGTTTCTCCTTAATCTCCTTTGTCTCTAGCAATTAGAGCCTCCACTGTGCCGCTCTTGTTCTTAATTCTGACTGTGTTCCAGCTTTTTTCCTTGAATTTTTTTTATTTCTTTCTGTTTTACTTTACAAAACCATGTTAAAGGCAGGGAGCAGAAACCATTGCCACAGAATGTATACTACCTTGAAATTTCCTCCACCAAAGATAGTAATTCATTATTTTAATTTTATTTTTTTAAGTGTATGGGTGTTTTGTCTGCACATGTCTGTGTACATTGTGCGTGTCTGGTACCTTCAGAGACCAAAAGAGGTTGTGGAACTAGAGTTACAGACAGTTGTGTGAGCTACCATGTGGGTGCTAGGAACTGACCGCAGGTTCTCTGGAAGAGCAGCTAGTGCTCTTAACTGCTAAGAGCTCTCTTCAGCCCCTGGGGTCATTATTGTTTAATTTAGTCTCACTCAAAATTTCAGGACAAATATAGAACGTAGACCCATGGTTTGTCAGGCTGTGGTATGAATGACTTCTAGTTCCACTTTTGAGAGTCCCTTGTTCCTCTCTGAAACCTCTTGAGCATCTCTTATCCTGTCAGCATTTCTGTCAGAATCAGCGTTATGTTCTCCCTACAGCATTCTGGATCTTTTCTGGCCTGTGGCTTCAATCTCTTTCACCTATGTTCCTCCCGTATACTAATTACAAAGGCCTGGAAACCCCATGGTCAGGTTTATCATGGCAATAGCCCCACTTTCCTCTGTTATCTGTGTTGTTATTGTGACCAAATAGTTATTTACATACACAACCAGAGCAGGGAAGGTTTATCCTGGTTCATGGGGTTTCAAAGTGTACAATCGTTTCTTGGAAATCATGGAGGTAGGAGCAGCTTGTAGCTGGGGCCATGGGAACAGGAAATCATTGGTTATATTGTATCGATAGTTAGGAAGCAGAGTGCTCAGGCCTAATAAGGGCCACAATTCATAATAGGCTGCTAGGCGGGCCACATGTTAATACGTTCTACATCTCCCTAATAGAGTGTTGCCAGCTGGGGCCAAGTGCTCAAGCTCATGAACCTGTGAGGGACACTTCATATTCAAACCTGGCTGGTTCTTAAGCTTAGTGCCCTTCAGTAGAAAAAAGGAGAGTTGAACAGAAGGGCACAGGATGGGCTTTGTGGGAAAGTACTTCTCCATTTGTATAGGGGACAGAGCAGATATTGTTAAAATTATTTTAAAGTTTCTTTTATTACGTGTAACTTCAGTTGGTAGATACAGGCAGTTTTGAGGATTCCTTGGGAAAAGTTTATTTGCTGAGACCATTGTAAACTTTAAATAATTAAGTGAAATACATGAGATAAAACTTTACTAAGTAATTTTAATGTTTTTTAAACCCCATGCAAAATGCAACATTGAGCCTGAACAAGTTAGGCGTATTGACCATGAATTTTAGCTCTTTGTTTTATATACTAATAGAACTGTTGAAAAAGCTTGTAAGAGTGCCATGGAATCTTTTTTTGATTTATATTGTTTTAATGCTGCGGCTGGAGAGATGGCTCAGCAGTTAGGAGCACTTACTGCTCTTCCAGAGAGCCCAAATTCAGCTTCTAGCATCTGCCTGAGGCCGCTTAAAAGCAGTATAACTCCAGCTCCAGGGACCCAATGCCTCTGGCCTCCAGAGGCCCAGAACTTGTACTAGTGCACTTACTCAAAAGCAGACACACACACAACACAAATTATTGAATTTGCTTAAAATACTTTTGTATCGCTTACAGTCCAGGTCTTTACCTGAGCCTGAGGGTGTGTGTGCTTTCCTGTCTTTGGCAGGCAGTGTATCACAATGTGAAGCCAGCAGCGCTGCAGCAGCAGCTGGAGATGATTCATCTCACACAGGACAAAGCAGAAGCATTCGCCAACGCTTGGTCAGCCATGGGTCAAGAAACAGTTGAGAAGTTCAGGCAGAGGATCCTGGGCCCTCACAAGGTATGGACATGCTGTCCCAAGCACCTTTTTCCAAAAACTTACAGTCTTACAAATGATAATATTTTGTTAAGAGGTAACATATGACGAAAAGGCAGGTTGAGTATTCCTGTTCAATCTTTTCTACATGTTAGCACATTTGTTAAACACAACATAGTTTAATTTTGACAGTTTGATATATACCTCCGTAATTTAAGAGTAGGAATGAGACAGTATCCTTACGCCCTCTGGCAGTGATCTCTTTGTGTTCCTGAGCGAGACTTATTTCTAACACTTACTGAGTCATATTCTTGCTTGTTTTTGCGTGTTCAGTAGAACCCCTTGCATGAGGTAGGTACTGACTTATGTGTCACCGCCCATAAACCTGTGCTGGGAGGACTGTAAAGTCAGTGTCACAAGGCCCTCTGCCAACCAGACCTCACAGAGGAGGGATGGCTGGGCAGGCTGTGCCCTTTCCTACTCATATGGTATATTACTTCAGTCTTCTGATGCGCAAGCAGATCTGTGTACCCTGGGGTAAATCTCACACGCCATCCTTTTAACATGCTGCTGGTGTGATTTGCTGATTCTTGGCTAGGGGATCTTCCACCTATTTTTGGTACATGTGAGGTGAGCTGGGAGCTGCTCCTCTAGCTCCCAGGAGTATCTGTGAAGGATTGCATTGTTCTGCATTACCAGGAATGCACTGGGTCCAGCAGCTCCAGACTTTTTAGTACTTAAAATTGCCAGTTTTTGTTGTTGTTTGTTTGAATTTAAAACTGTTTCATTAGGTTTTGGTGCTTCCTTGTGTTTTTAGCCTACTTTCACCTACTACATAGTTTTGATATGTTTTTATGTACTGGCTCTGCATTTATATTCTGTGGTAAAGTGTCTGGATATTTTGCTTAACTCTGCTCCATACTAGAGAGTCCAGAGATACAGGTCTCCTTGTATCTAGGCACAAATCCTTGTAATGTGTAGGCACAAATCCTATAGAAGTGCATTTTTTTTTTTTTCAGTTATAATGTATAGAGGGTGCTAGGTTGCCATCCCTTTATTTGGATCTTGAATTACAATTGAAGTTCAGTTCTAGATGTAATCCTCTGTGTGCTCTGTGATTGGACACTGTTTCTGCCAGTCTGTGTGTTTCTTTCTTTCTTTCTTTCTTTTCTTTTTTTTTTTTTTTAATGGCATGTCTCAAACAGGTAAAGCTTTAATTATGTTGGTGCTCCATGTAGCATTTGGTCTTTTCTTGATCTCATGCTTAGTTTTGTACCTAAGAATTTATAGACAGATCACTTTTATAGATGTTTTCTCTTTTTTTCCTTTTCAGCATTTTATACAACGTTGATGTTTTGCATTTAAGCCTGAAATCCATTTTGAGCTACTTTTGGATAAAGTGCAAGTGTATTTCTCTGCCTTAACTACTGGAGGTTTATAGTAAGCAGGCCAGGTGTGGTGGTTTGTGCCTTTAATCACAACATGCAGGAAGTAGTTGGAACTCTGTGAATTTGAGGCTAGCCTGATTTACATAGTGAGTTTCAGGACAGCCAGGGATTCATAGAGATCCCCCTCCAAACAAACAAAAAACATTAGTGTGAGTAGAGCTGGAGAGATTGCTTACGTTAAGAGTCCTTGCTCATATCTACAAGGACCCAAGTTCTATTTTCAGTAGCCACGTTAGGTGGCTCACAGGACCTTTAACTCCAGTTCCCTGGGATCATGTCCCTCTGTTGCCCCTGCATACATGTGGCATGTGTGTCTGATGGCTTTGTTCTGATTTTCATATTTTTGGGGGTGTTCTGGTTTCTTGTTCTTACATAGAATTTGAAAAACTGGCTTTCAGTATCTGCAAATGGTTCTTCTGGCATAGTGATTAAGAATGTGTTAGATTTAATGACGAATTCGCAGAGGAATCAATTCTTAGCAGTATGGAGTAAATTTCTCCATTTATTAATGTCTTTTTTGATTTCTTTTGCCAGTGTTCTTTATTTTTATTACAGATCCTGTGTATATTTTGTTGTTTTGTAAGTCGGCATTTTATTTTGTTTTTAAAACTGTTATAAATATGCTATTTTAAAAATGTTGGTTCCAACTGTTTATTGTTAGATACTAGAAATAGAAATACAATTAATTTTTGGGAGGGGTGGGAGGAGGGCTACAGCTGGGATATAAAGTGAATAAACTGTAATTAATAAAATAAAATAAAAGTGAAAAAAAAGAGAACTATAGTTAATTCCTTAAAAATACTGTTTTTGTGAATCTAGGGGTTGAACTCATGGCCTAACGAGTGCCAGCAAGCTCTCCATGACTTGACTGTTCTATCTATATTCATCTGTCCCGCGACTTTGGTAATTCGCTAATTGGGGATAGGAGCCTTTTAAAAATAGGTTTCTTTCAATTATTTTCAAATACATTTCTTGTAATTCTTTTCACATGGAGATTTTCAATATTGGTGAATAGAGACTTTTTTTCCCCCAATCCAAACAGCACTCCCCTTTCCTTTTTTTCTTACTTATGTGATGTATATGATATACATGTGTGTTTTCATGTGTGCACGTGTGTGTGAGTGCCAGAGGTCATGTTGGGAGTGTCCCTTAATCCCCCCACCCCACCTTACACCTTATGTTTTGAGACAGTCTCTCTGTAGGACCTGGAGCTCGCTGATTTAACTAGTCCGGGATGGCCGGTGACCCTGCTGTGCCAGCCTGCTTCTGTCATGCCGCTGTTGCAGTCACAGATAGACCGAGCATTTACATGGATGCTGAGTATCTAAACTTAGATCTCCATGCTTGCTTAGCAATCACTTTACTGACTTTACTCTCCGGCCAGCTTGTCCTTATTTTCTTGTCTTCTTGATTGATGTGTTCTCAGTTTGGGGGAGAAAACGCTTTCAGTAAATATTACCTCTTAATGTCTAGAAAATGTTCCCTGTGTTTCCATTTGAGTTTTCTCTCTGTGTGTCTGGCCGACCTGTGCCCTCTGTGTCCTCTGAGTTTCTGCCTTGCTTTTCATTTTTTCAATTACTTTTTTTTTTTTTTTTTCAGTTTCCTATTTTTGTTTCCCTGAAGTTCTTTCTTCTTTTAAACATCTGTATTTGGAAAATCTTCATATTATTCTGGCTTGGCTTGTGTTTTCCTTCTGTGTTGCAGTGTGTGCTTCCCCAGCACCCAGCGTTGGTCTGGACTGCCCACCTGTTTCTAGGTGTAGCTGGAAGGTAGCTCTCGGCGGTAGTTGATGAGTTTAGATGCTGCGTAAGATTCGGGAAAACCAGTTGTCACTTACGCAGAATGGAAAAAAAGAAACCCGAAGGCTGAGTATTTGTGGCACGGCTGTTACCCCATCAACTTGGGAGACTGAGGGAGAAGGGTCATAGTTTGAGGATGGCCAGGACAGTGAAGTTATGCAGTAAAACTGGCGCTAAGAGAATAAAGTTAGGAGGACTGGAAGGAATTGGAAAGAGCTGATGTATTTGGCCAGCCTGTGTGTGCACCATGTGCCTGCTGCCAGCAGAGGTCAGAAGAGGGTGCTGGGTCCCCCAGAACATGGGTTGCATGGGTTTTGGGCCTTCATGTGAGTCTGGGGCACTGAACCACAGAGCCTTTTCTTCAGTCCCAAGCTCCTTTTTTTTATGACTGAATGTTATTCCATTGTGAATATATAGCCCTGTCTTCCTGTTTATTGACAGATCCTTAGTTGTCTTCTTGGTAACAGCCTTACTAGCATGTAGAGATGACATTCCTCTCTGGCTTTGACTGGCATTTTCCTCATGTGTGACATTGAGCACCTTTGCCACGCTTGTTGGTAGCCTCTGTTTTGAAAAATTCTTTATCCATTTTTAAAACTTTTTGTTAAGGGTTATTTTTATTTTTAAATTGTGTGTGTGTGTGTGTGTGTGTGTGTGTGTGTGTGTGTGTGTGTGTGTG